TTTTTGATCAAATAAATGAAGCCTTGATGAGCATAAGAGACTTCTTTCAAAAACATTACAAGTCTTACTGATCCCAAACTTTTGAGCGGTAGTGTATATGATATAAAATGCCTTTTAGTTTTTCTTTTTTGAAGATAATAATAAAATAATAATAATAGCCAATCAAAACAATTGCTTGGACTTTTTTTGTTCAGAGCTCATATGCATGTTAACTTGTTTGTTTGCTAACGATATATGGTTTATATATAATCAACCATATAATAATGTTTCTCTTGCTACCTAGCAACCTCTTAATGTCTCTCCGCCATGACTTTATCCACATCGTTTCCATGTGAAGGTAAAAAAACGGCACGTGTGCTTCTGTTAAGATCACGCCCTGATGCGAGTTATGTGAAAAGGACTTAACTGATTATTAATTGTATATGATCACTATGCTGTATTTTTAAGAAGGATGCTAATGTCCAAAGATGTTAATAATACCACTTTCATGTCAATTCCTATCAAACCATTTACATTGACTTCATAAAAGCTTCTGCAGAATCTATCAAATAAAGCATTTAGGGGACAAGAGCGCTGAGCTGAAAAAGCAAATCTATTCAGACAGAATATTTTCTCATTTCCTGCGTTCACTGATTCAGACGTGCTCAATTATTTACTTTTGTTTGCTGTTCTCTGTGTGCCTGCTCATATTGTCAATTATATTCCATCATGAGGTAAAGTAATACTCATCCATGTTTAATTTTCCAGCGGATTTTGCACTTCTGTGTGGAGATCAGATGATGTCAGTCACCTTTTGACTGAATTAATTTGCTCCCATTTTTGGCATTTACTTGTGTTGAACTAGATACAAAAGGGCTTGATTTCAACTTCTCATAGCCCTCTATAAAGCCGTCTGGAAAGTTCTAAAGACAATGCAGCATTGTTCAGCACAGCAGTGAATTTGTAAAAGCCTCTCAGCCAAGACCCCACAGACATTCATCACTATTTCTGAAGGCTGATGATTTCCCATCCACTTGATGGTATACAAATTAAATTTAAAGCTTTACCATTTAAAATGTTGAATTCGCCAACTAGTACGATACTACTAAAGAACCTCTTGGTTTGAAAAAGCAATACCAGTAGCAAAAAACCCATCTGCGTGATTACAACTACACTATTCCCAGCTGCAGGATCTCGGCATGTCCTGCTTATTCCACATGCAGCCCGAGAAAGATTATTTATGACAGCATTGCTGCTTTCACATCAGCGCAAAAACACTAGATGTAATTGGGTAATCAAGAAGCGAGACTATTGAATGTTGTGGAAAGCCATGAGCCTAACACAACTAATTATTAACTTCTCCTAAAAACACCAAGTGAGTGATGGCCAATATACTTAAAATAAAAATGGGTTTTCATTGTGATGAAACCATTTATTTCTTAGTGTTATGAACATTTAAATAACTTCAATATCAATTTTCAGATTAAATGTGTGATGGAAAGGTTCTACGGATGTTAAAGGTTCTTCAAGGAACCATAGATGCCAGAGAATATGCTTTAACAGTGTAGTCTCATTACAGATGATATTATTCCTCCTCCTCTTAAGCAAAAATCAAAACAGAAAACCTGAAGACCTACATAGATATAGTCCCCCAGGAAAAGGCCGTTTTCTTCTCACCTTTGTTCTGAGATAAAGAGCATAAACTGAACAACAATAGCCCTTGAAGCTCTGTGACTCCTAGGATCCCACTATCACCAAATGGGCCTGATCTATTCAGTGATATCAAATTTATGGTGCATAAAAAGTTCCATTCCCAAGCTTTTCACGGGCAATCAACCACACACAGAGAGCGAGAGAAAAGAATAGACACCAACAAAGCATTCAAAGAAACAAGGGTTTGTGTGTGAAAATGTTAAAGGGATGGTTCACCCAAAAAGGAAAATTCTGTTATTGTTTACTTGTATGAATTTGTATGTACAAAAACTTCAAAATACCATTTATGTTCCACAGAAAAATGCAAGTCATATGGGTTTGGAACAACATAAAGGTGAATACATGATGGCAGAATTCACATATTTGAGTGAAGTATCCCTTTACAGAATAAAAAATTTAAAAATATTTATCATGTTTTTACCACTAGCCCACAGCAGTTCATTTAATGATGTTATAGGTGATATTTCATATTTGTTGAGCTTCACTAATAATAAAATTCTGCTATCCTAATGACTTTTGATAAAAGTCCCATCTAAAAGTAATTTATATATGAATCTGCCATTAAAAAGGCCTTTGTCCATCAAGTTTCTCCATATTTTACAGATAAACAAGCCTGACTGAGATTACGTGCGTTCTGAACATGGAGACTTATTCTGCTGCTCTTGCTAAGGTTCAAATAATTTCAAGCCGTTTTAATGTCATTATTATATAAATGGTGATAACCAAATTTTACTCCATTACTTTTATCTTAAATGAACATGTTAACTTTGGCAGCCCTCGTATATACACACTTATATTTTAGCAGAGCTTTGAGAGATTGCTCACAAGTCTGCTTTCAATTAAACACACTTTTTTTGCCCTTCAGCTTTTTATGGACGTCTCCAGCAATTCTTTCTCCCACTCTCCAGTTCTTTGAGAAGGAGTTACTAGGGTTTTGACAGAGGCCTACACAATCCCTCACACAGCCGAAAGGAAGATTGAAAGACTTAAAGTTTTCACCACTGAAAATCTGTCACTCATTTCTCCCCACCACTTCACTCTATCAACCTCTTTTCTTCTCACCCACTCGCTTGACTCTCAGTACCATTCATTTTTTTCCTCTCCTTTCTCCATAAATCTGTCATTCTCTTTTTTTTTTTTACAGTAGTCATCTTCCTCCGTTCTCTCTATCCCTTTTCTCTCCTCTTCATGCTCGTTCTCTCTTTCTTTGAGTCAATGAGGAGTTATTGGATTTTGACAGAGGCCTATACAATTCACAGCCAGGAGAAAGTGAAAGCACCTCCCTCTCCTCTCTTCCCCACCCGCTCTCATACTTTCAGTACTACCATGTTCATTTTCATTCATTCTTTCTTTATTATTATTTGTATTTTTACTATGTACTTGTTTCAAATATACATTTTTGTTTTACTTTCTTCCTTTGTTCCTAATTTGTTTGTTTTTATTTTCATGTATTTTGTTTTATATGTATATTTAATTCATTTATATTATTAAATATTTTCAATGATATACATTTTTTAGTTAATTTTTTGTTTTCTCCTTCCTTTTTCAATAATTCTCTGTCCTCTATCCTTCTGCTTTCTTTCTTTCCTTCTTTCTGTTTGATTGTCTTTTGGCAAAGTTAGGTCTGTATTATGCCTGTCCCTGTTCTTCACATATTTATGCTATATTTATTAGCCTCTGTTCTGCCAAGATTCTTTAAAATGGAGATAAGCCGGCAGCCAAAAGCTCTTATATAGTTTTTTTTTTTTTTTAACTGATGATCATCTTGTTTGCATGCCCCTGAAAATAACTGACCCAATTACAAAGTCAACTAGATATATATTTAAATTTTATCTATGTATTTTTATTTATTTTTATTTATTTTTTTTGTGTCTACTATTCCATTGTTAGCTTGAATATAAACTGTAGTGCTATAAAGTGTTAGCATACATTCAGCCTGGTATTTTATTTGGATACTGATGACTTAATATTAAGATTTGATATCTAATTTGGGCTTTTAAAAAATTACCTTTAGAAGTATGAGTGTACAGTACAAAATACTATTGAGTCATGAAAGAGGACTACAAACCTGTTGTGACACTAAAAGTGTGTTTGTGAGTCACCCATCGCGTAGCATATGTCGGCCCTCAGTGCTTCCCAGGGGCCAAAGACCTCAGTTTATAGACCAGCAGAAAGCAGACGAATGAGTCAGAGGAAGATAAAGGTCCCTTCTACTATTCATAACATCTTCCAGTATATTTGCACACAAGTCTGTTATAGCGTGCAAGAAAATGAGGCAAACTCTGGCAGGTCTATTAGAACAGTGTTTCCCAACCTTTTTTCAGTCGCGGCACCCTTTGGAAATTTTAACAAACTTGTGGCACCCTACAAAATTAATTTTGTCACAATATTTAAATTTCTATCTTCGATATGATAATTTGAAAAGTATAGATATTCGGTACAACAGGGAAGAACTGCAGAATATAATGTCATACAGATATTTTTAATATTATTAACAAATTTTGTCCATCAATGGTGGCAATCAGTAGGCTAATTTCTAATGAAGAGACCAATTTATATGACAGATTTTAATGTAGGCTTTTATACATATGTAAACATTATTTAATTACCATTATAACTAGCTATCCCACAAATTTTTGCTCACTCGAGTGTTTTTTTAATTTTACAGTGGGGTCATTTTGGTGCAGTAGCACGAGATAGCTTGATTTCAAACTTTGAATTGAATAAAAAATGACAAGTAAGCAGTCAGTAATAAAATAAGAACAAATAAAGAAATTAATAATGATAGCACAAATAAAAAATAACGACAGGCCTTCGAATTAAATAAATTGCTTTTTAGTTTTTCAGGTAGATCTAACAGTAGGGTTAAGATATACATTTTTTTTTTGTTTTGTTTTTTTTTACCAATTATCCAAATAAATGTTTAATCCTAGAAAGCTATTATTATCAGAGGACACGTGAGCATAACATAACGGTTAGCAGATCAATGAATGAGAGGGCAGCGTTACCAGAGATGCCCAT